GTACACTATTGATATCTGGCTTGCATTTCATTGCTGGCCAAGGTCCAACGTACTCTTGTTCCATTTCCGTGCAAGATATCCCAGCCGCACTATGCCCCAAACCAGCTCGTATCAGTATGCCTCGCAGTCTGAATCTTGTAACTTTAGTACAGTGCGATTCGAACGTGCCAACACACGTGCGCCCGGCTGGCTCACCAGATATGATACCCGTGATGATAACAGATATTGCGGTTGCCGAAGATGCTTCTGAGTAGGTGCACACTCGGAGACCATACCGGGAACCGAAAGACGAAGAACAAAGCTGATTAGATGACTACGCTGCCTGGGAGCATTCAGACTACCATCATGGGTCCATTAGATAGCAAGGTGTACTAGCTTGGTGGTTGGGTGAACTTCAAGTTGCTGGCGCGTTCACCCTAGATTCAATCAATTCATGCTTGCCAGTTCCGAAAGCAGGGGCCGTTGATCGATCGATCTATCCCGAATGAAAGTAAGAGTCGAGCTAGGTTGCATCATGTATGGATGTGAAGCTTGTAAAAAGAGGACACAGGCTGTGACTTGAGTGCAAAGTTTGATGTGTGACCGTGATGCGGCCACGTGGTTGTCGATATTTGAGCCGACCAAGGGTTCAAAAACACTATGATAATATCTGGTCGAGTTCGAACTAATAGTCTACAACCCGAAGCCTCGACAAGGTATGTCCATTATTCACTATTTTTTCTTAATGTACTCATCTTGGGATTTATCTAGTGATTCTCATGCTACGCCGGGAAAAGCTAATGCGACCCCTGTCGAATTACTTCCCGCGGAGACAGTATGAACATCCTCAAGCTTGCACTGGAGGACATCATCGAAGATGATATGATGACAACTGCTGAAGCCGAACACCGAGTTTATGGCGGGAGCTTACCATTTCCTCACACCATGGCATCAGTAATGCAGACAATTGGCGAGATGTTGTTTTCTTCTGCACCTGAGCTCTGGACTCGTATCTTTTGCCATGATACCCCATGAAGCAGCATCAGACATTGATTTCCCAGCTTCGAAAGGCGTGCGGTCATCCAGTCCATTTGACTATAATCAACAAGCATAACCATCTCAAACAAGACGAAGTTCCTGGGATCCTCAATTGCATCGCGCTGCATATCGGACAACTGAAGAGTCTGCGAATTCGTAACTTTTACAGCCTATACATCAAGAATACTGCAACGCATTAGCAGGACATGCGCCCCAGCTAGAGTGCTTACAAGTGACAGGCCCGAAACTCTTGGGATGTTGGACGACCCGCAAGCGCCTACCACCGCTTTTCAAACTCGACTGCCCGACTCTCAGAATCCTCGATATCGATCATAAAGTAGCTCACAGTCTCAATCACCAGTGGCTCAAGAACAATTTGACAAATATCGAATCTGTGACACTATCTTTTGGAGATGAACTTCCGTGCTATGGCCCTTCGTATTTGGTAAAGGATGTTCCTCAAGCGCTGAACGCGGTCCCAGGAAGAATACCTTGCCTCATCATCGACGGCTTGCAATTTCCGTTCCAGACCATCTCAGGGATCAAACACAAAGACCTCAAAATCGGGGCAGAGAAAGTGGTTGTGCGTGAGTGCATGAAAGTTTTGGACATGGTCGACGAGTATTGCAAGACGATTGTTATTCGTGGCTGCGAATTCGTAGAGGACCCGCGTACAAGGAGGTTGCCTTCCTCGGATACGTTGGAGTTTGATGGGTGCTTCGGCGGCAGTTTGGAAGCGGCACCTTTGACCCCTTCGTGGGACGGTGATACAGTGACCATCACGAACAGCGACTCGCTTTGCTTGGAAGCCATCTTCGTCCTCCTGGGTGCACCTTTTAAGGACTCTAGTTGTTCCCTGTGGCCACGCGTCACTACTCTCAAGCTCGTGGCCAAGGATGATTTCGCTTTGAAATTCCCGTTCAAAATGCTGAAAGCAATGATCAGCAGTCGGAGGGAGGCTGCAGGGCAGGAGAACCTGGGAAAGAGCAACGTAGAGTTGGATGCCATCGGATTCAAACGCGTCCGTCCAATTATGGTGCTTCATGTGCATGGGGGACAAGGACTGTTGCACAAGGAGAGAGAGTGGTTCGAGGAACAGGTGAAAGACTTCGTTTGGGATTGTTAGAAGAGGTAAAGGAGTGGGTGATCAGGGAGGTCGTTTTCTCGGCAGAACTGGCCGCCGTCTGTAGGGAGACTTTGTCGATAGTCGATTGTCCTGACCAATCAACTTAGAGAACCGTAGCGCCCATGGCTTTTGCTTGGTAACAACTATCTGACAAAGTTCTTAATCATTATCCGAAAACAGTTCGGATCCGCGATGTCAAGTACTTCACATCATTACGTTCACTTGTGTTCACTTCAAAATTTAGTCTTGCCTCTAGAATATGCATATTGACAGCCGATATCTGGACTCGAAAGTAATGGAATACGCCTGCGACAGAAGTTCAAGGTGCAAGCTTTTGATTTCGAAGACCGCACGAGTTGAAACTCGAGCTCCACTTACGGAACAGTAGGTGACTCAGACAGACTACGATCGGTACCGTCGAGTCAAGCTCTGCTGTGGGAAATCCGACGCTCGGAAAACCTTTTGATCATTTCATGACTGTTGCGCTGACAGTAGCTGGTATAAATAAGGGGTCACTGGACGAAATATCACTCAGTCTTCATCGCGTCTCAAAGTCTTTCTATCAATCCTAATGGCTCCAATCGGCTCTCTCTGGGGTGTTCCTCGTCAACGTCAAACTAAATATGTCAGTTCCGTTTCCTGTGCAGAGAACTATTGACTGGACAAAATATTAATGCAGATATTGAGCGCTGCTGCTATTGCGGGCCTCGAAGTCGATCTCAAGCCTTTCGAGTTCGGCGTCAGCAACAAGTCACCTGAATTTGTTAACAAATTCCCGTTTGCCAAAATTCCTACGTTTGAGGGCGAGGATGGATTTGTTCTTCTAGAGGGTGCCTCTATTGCACGTTATGGTCAGTGTTGTGCTACACAGCCTATAAGACGATTCTTACTGTGCGCCGTTACATGATCAGTTGCATCTCTGGCTCCTGAGTCTGGGCTTCTTGGAAACAGCATCAAAGATGCTGCACTAGTTGACCAGTGGATCCACTTTGCGGAGCACGAGATCAATGGATATACCGACTTGGTATGGCAGTTGGTAGAGCGCTTTTTCCCAGAGAAAGGCTACAGTGAAAGCGTCAGTTGTTCTTTAGATGTACAGCGGAACTCAATTTCAATGGCTCACACCGGTTGAATCACAGATTCACAAATCCGTATTGGAACGGCAGGAACGCTCACTCAAGTTCCTCGAACAGAACCTCAACCTTCGCGAGTTCGTCGTCACTGATGAGATTACACTGGCGGATATCGTTTTAGCTAGTATCACCCAACGTGCTGCTCGAGTGACCCTCGGTGCTGCTGAACGAGCACTCTACCCGAATGTCTTTGCACACTACGCGAGGGTGGCGGGTGATCCTCGCATTAAGGATATCTTCGGGGCGGCAGACTTTGTTGAAGTGCCCGTAGGACCTAAAAAAGATGAGTAGATCACGTGGGGAAGAGGTGGAAGCGCTTTTGGGGATAAAATGATATACTATACCTTGCTCGAACATTCCGCCAATTGAATTGTTGTACGATGAGTCTGTAAGCTGATCGTTTGTATTGTTTGAAAGCTCTAGTCAAGAACGACTGTACCTATGTAGTCATCCTCTCGATTGTCGATCAATCCCCGCCGCCTGAACAGAAGGTCTTATCATGAATCATGTGACCGAGTACGATCGATTTGGAAGAAGCAGGAAGCCATCGCTGGCGGCGTCAGTGTATATACCTCGTGTATGAATGATGTAAAGTACCTCTATCGTAATCATAACATGGCGAAGCGAGCAGCGTTCTAGGACGTCCCAAAACATCACAATCACCGAAACTCGAATGGTCGAGACTTGAACCTTGATAATCAGATAGGCTCCCCAAACAATTCCAAAGCTTGATATCATAAACGACTCACAGATGTAGGGAAGATAGTCCCCATATAGAACAAAGGAACCTGCGTGATGGATCGTTTACCTGAAAATGACGAATCCTGCTTCGATTCCGAATCCACGCAAAAAGGGACATGGTGGAAACACCAACCAGCCAAGCCAACATGTTGAGGTCAAAATCTACCTCTAACTCGCCACATCACGGTGTAAATAATACTGGTACGGGCCAGGGTCTAAAGGTTTAGCAGGCCGAAGGCACAGGTGCACGTCCTTGGCTCAAGCAGGTACATGAGAAAAAAGTTATGGTATTTACTTACGAACAACAGGGAGACTGACAGATGTCGGGTGAATTCTGTGTCAGAACAACGTCAGAACAACATCGATTTACTCGAGATCACCACACCTATGAGATAACTTGATGGCACGGACCAACTTAAGCGAGGAACGTTAATACTGCATATTATGGATGGGTATGATGTACCCGATACGACTCTGGATCACTATTGGCGGTAAGTTGCACTATAGCTTAAAGCACGCGCGCTGGATGCTGGAGCATTTTGAGGTGAAGCGATACTTAACTTTAACGTCTGCAAGGAGTACAGTGGTTATGGGGTTGCATGACACGTTATCTATGGTTTGCCATGTTAGAGCGTAATGAGTGTATTGTTCGAGGAACGGGGGAAGGGTTCGGATTATAAGACGTGAATGGGATTATATGTGTTGGTTCGGTTTCGTTGTTAGAGATAGTTGGGTGGGCGGCGGATAGATCGAGGTGATCACATTATAAAGGTGGGACCGGGAATATGAATCTATATCTATTTAGTAGAATGTGTGAGCGTCGACTCAATTGGACAGATCAGAGATTATGGAAGAGTGAATTCGCAGGAAGCACAGGGTGCTATGTATAAATTTACCTAGTTATTGACCTTTGGTTGATAAATAAGATAGGTCACGTATGGGATCAGTATGTCCACGGCCGTGCTTGTGTACACTGTAGACATACATTTTGTGAATGGGTGCCCCATGGTGCTTTATTGCCAGTTTCCTTGTATCTTACAGCCTGGCGCTAATAGCGAATAGGTAGGATTGGTTCTGCGCGTATGGAAGCAAGGTCTACTGCTTGATCGATTGCTTCGTCAATCTCTCCGATGAGAACACTGAGCATGAGAGTGTGAGAGCAGTATTGTAATTGAGTGATCTCACGCACATCATATCGCCTTTAACAAGGTAGAGACCTAGTTCTACTTCTTCTACACCCTCGTCGATACTATAAATCCTCTCTTTTGAATCGCTGAGGACGACATTTGACTTTTGGTCGTAACCAGCTAGGACGCCGACGATTGCTCTTCCATCTTGCAGTACCAGAAGGACTCGCCCTAGATTATTATCAGTTATTATCAAGATGATAAAGGGGATGCTTGGACTTGCTATCGACGTAACCCTGCAAGCTTGACATTGAAGTTGCAGTAAGAGGCTGTGTGGCTGTGTTTATTTCCAGGGGGATACCTACCCTGGAAGGGTACCTCGTGGAATTCAACCGTTTTATCTACTCGGGTCTCATTAATTCTTTCTTCTTACAACGACGCTTCTCGCTCGTTGTCGTTAACGACGCCGCACCACCACACACGACGCCAATCGCGACTCCCAACAATGGAGAAACGCGAATTAGAGAAACTTGAATCTGTCGAACTCGAGGAAGTCCGTCAAAGCAGGGACCTTCCTTCACCTGCCACTGCAGCACAACAACCTCGCAATCGTGCAAGGTTCAGTGCCGCCACGATCATTCCAGTGTGGATTGTTCTTAGTAGTGGAGTCATCATTTACAACAATTACCTCTACAACACTGTAAACTTCAAGTACCCCGTTTTTTTGGTTACTTGGCATTTGACTTTTGCAGTCAGTCTTTCTTTTTCTTCTTCTCAATACTCTACTGACACCTCAAGTAGGCTATTGGAACTCGCGTCCTTCAACGTACAACGCATCTCCTAGACGGTGCAAAGGATGTACCAGTCAGCAAAGACATGTTCTTTCGCTCCATTCTACCCATCGGCCTCCTTTTCTCTGGCAGTCTCATCCTTAGCAACACTGCTTATCTGTACCTGAGCGTGGCCTATATTCAGATGCTCAAGGTCCGTTCACTCCACCATGTGCTTTTGCGTTATCTTTACCACACTTTTGGCGCCGTGCGTTTAATGACCTCGTTTCTGTACTAAACCTCCTTTCAACCTTCATTGCCGCCTAATTTCCGCTTCTCCAGTACTACACGCGTTGTCTCGTGTTTCACGCTATGCCTTACGCGCATTCCTTTGAATTCTTCACATACTAACATCTATACAGGCCTTCACCCCCGTAGCAATCCTTCTCATCACATGGGCCACCCGCATCAGCGAACCCTCCCGCAAGCTACTCCTCATCGTCCTCATGATCTCCTCCGGTGTCGCCGTCACAAGCAAGGGTGAACGATTCTTCAGTTGGATCGGGTTTATCATTCAAGCTGGAGGAGTTGGGGTGAGCACCACTTGACTTCGGTTCTAGAGACATCTAACCAACCTTCCTCCCAGTTTGAAGCTACCCGCCTAGTCCTTATCCAAATTCTCCTCCACGGACTCAAAATGGACCCCCTCGTCTCTCTTCATCTCTACGCACCTGTCTGCGCCCTTATCAACCTCTGCGTCATACCTTTCACTGAGGGCATGGAGCCGTTCCGGGTAGTATGGGGAAGCATCATAGGATCATACAGCCATGCCATGTCCGCCGTATCAGGCGAAGTGGCATCGAACGCTACTGTCTCAATAGTCGGCGCGTCAGGAGAACTGATCGCTGCCATAGGCGAAGAAGCAACACCTCACATCACCCCCTTCCTTCTTCTCACAAACGCGCTGCTTGCGTTCCTGCTAAATATTGCTGCTGTGTTTTTGGTGGGTGCCGGGAGCGGGTTGGTGTTGACACTTGCGGGGGTGTTGAAGGATGTGTTGTTGGTTGCGGGGAGTGTGGTAATTTGGGGTGGGCAGGTTGGCACTTTGCAGGCCCTTGGTGCGTTTTTGTTGGGTTTGGTTTTGATGGTTGTCCCGTGCTGATATCTCGTGCAGGATACTCAATAGCGTTGTGTGGATTGGTGATGTTTAAAATGTCGGGTGGGAAGTGATCGTTTGATACCGAACTTTGCCCTCTACCGCTTACCACTTATGCTCCCATCTTGCCCTAGCTCGCTTATGTTACTATATTCCCAGCACTTGGTTTTCATGACTTGCTTGAAGCAGAGTCCTCTATGCGCGCTCAGACGCGTATATATATATATATATCTTAGGTCGCTTCCCCACTACCACCACCCGATGAACGATGGCAGCAGTCCTCTTGCATATTATTGTGCATTTTATTCGCAGTCACTCCCTCTCCCCCTTCCACCTCCTCCTGCAGTTCTTTCTGGTTTTGTACGATGCCTGTTCCTGTTCCGTTCGTGCGACGCACATCCCAATCCCTCGTACATCGCTCAACCCATTCCCGGTTCGCCCAACTCATTCGCGTTCATACAACACTCGAATCGGCCCACTAACTCCGCGATGACATTTAAAACACATGGACATGCTTATCACGCATAGATAGATAGACTAGGACTTCACTTCTTACTTTCCCTTTCCTTCCCTACGTGACTTTTGCCATGGCCCGACCCTGGGTGTTTTACTCGTACTGATAGACTTGCTACCTTGCCTTTTTGTGTTTACTGTTTTTGCTGTTTTTCTTCCTACCCCACTTTCATACCGTACTGTTCCATGCGTGATCGACGCTCGTACCCTGCTTGCTCCTCCAATGTGGAGGCCATGTCAAATTCCAATCCCCCATAGACTTTTGCAGTACTTTTTGATTTTGCTATCCTGTGTTCTGTAGTTCATGTTTAGGTTTGACTTCAGAACCAAATATAGATTTGCTCGATGAAGTAAGTGATTGGCAACGGCCGTTCTTTGGATCACGCCAGCTTGGATTGAGCGCTCGCTGTGAAATCATTTTTCTTGTGCGTGTCGGTGCTTCCTGCCGTGACGTGATTCATGACGACGATGGGAATAAAATTGCAAAAGAGCAGCGCCTGTGAAGAAGCAGAGGGACGCATTGGAATTGCAGTGATTCCAATGATGCGTCCCCCCGGCCATTCATCAGCTTGTACATATTGCCTATCGCACAGCTGTCGTACTCCGTCTTGCGGCAGATCTTCTCAGCGATAGTATGCCCCTCCTCCTGCTTGATGTAATATTCCGCTGCGACTTCTCTGTCGTGTAACGAGCGTGGCGCTGGGACACTGCGTTACGCTCCCGGTGCGATGTACAGATGAGGTTCAACTCGGACCGATAACCAAGCTTGAGTGGAGCCATCGTGATCGTGTCGAGAGACATTTGTTTTTGATCAAACGTGTATTATTTTCTAGGGTACCGGAACATAGCAGTACCAAGGAAACTTGGTGAGTCAAACCGACGTATCCACTATCCACAACATGGGTAAATACAACACCGTCAATAACACTGGCAGCCCGAAGCAAGCCACTTCAAGCAATATGGCAAACTGACCCCAAAGTGATGAACGCATGTGCCACGACGCAAGGAGTCATAGAACATCGAGGACTCGAGAGCGGGCACACGCAGCTTAGGAGCTTGTTTTCCACGTCCTTCGGGTCATCGGGATAATGCTGCCCGTGCCTGTGCTATATAATGAAAAACTGGTTCCTCTGCTGCTTGATGGCGGGCCAAATGAACCTTCATCAAATCACGCTTCCTCTCTCCGGCGAGCTTGGGAGGTCTCAGGGCGTCCTGCAAAGCTTTAACTGACGGGCCTACGGACGAAAATGAAGTGAATTGAATGCCCCTAAATATTGCGGAAGAATGGTTCTTTCTACTATCGCCATAAAGAACGATATTCAGCACATGGCGTCTTCAAGTTCCTATTACAAATCGATATCCGAGCCCCCTTCAGATTTGTTTGATCCAAGATCGCATCCCCATAAACAATGCGTTTCTCCCATATCCTCATCGTCTCTGCCGTTTTGACGCTGGTAGGAGTTGAGCTACCAAGGGCTGTCCTTGCTGGTGCAGACATACTAATAGTGACTGCAGCGCCTGCAAAAAGGAAATGCGCGAGTACTTATGAGTACGTCTTGGGTTTAACCATATGGCTTACTGACGTGGTATTAGATTACCCTTTCATGTGCTTGATCATGTATTTGCTTCTCAATAAATTTTACTGCTACTCGAGCAACAGATATTTCATGGGAGAGAAAATTTGTGGCGTCTGTTGTTACCACCAAGCAATGCCATTACTATTCAGATTTACATGTTTGACATATGTGTTGTCTCTCCTTGCTTTTGAAATTTCTCCTTCCTCAAATATTGGTATTCTCGGCGTCGTGCTAAGCCCGCTTTACTTATTTCACATGTCATACTAGAAAAACATACACAAGCCCCAGTACTATCGCCTTGTAGACCCACGACAATCTTGCATCTAAGTTATTACTTGATGACATTGCGTGGAACGTCTCTTCAATTTATCTATCACCTCAAGTCTAAGTCTAACCAAGCTGCCACCACTTTACTCACCACAATTATCTAGCTTACTCCAAAAACTACTTCGCCGTTCTCAACACCCTAGATTTGGCCAACCTCTGGCAACGGGTAATCCAACATTTGTATGCATCCATCTCGCTCGGGGATCGCCGCTCGCAGCACATGTCCGGATTCCGGAAATATTTTTATTCGACTTTCATTCCGTCTGCGTGGTGGTATACACAGGTCATAAGTAGGAGTCTCCGAGTCGCAATAGTTTAGAAGCAGCTGCGCAAACGGTCACTTCCATGTCCTCCGCTGATACTCTGCCCTTTCAGTAGTGGTTGTGAATCGGGTTTCGGTGAAGGAGAAACACGTATTACGTCATCATCCTCCAGGCACACCCCCTCCAAGGTGATGTGAGACCCCGATAGGAATCAACACACCAATTTGTCCCACGCGAGGGGAATCGACAGAAGGGGGAGGCGCACGACTTGCGCGAACTGGCCATCAGTTTGATGAGTGGTGTAGGTGGTCCTTGAAGGTGGTTGGAGCTGTAGTCGAAGACAAGGTGGTGGCCAGCGCTCGTGTACGCTGAGTCTTTCAAAATGTTATACGTAATGGTGATTACGAAAGTGGATGCTCACCCTCGCGGCGGTCGATATGGTTGCGAGGTTCGGGGCAACGTAGCAGGGAGCTGCATGTGGAGCGAAAAAAACATACCTGAAGTGGATTACGAGGCTTATCGTTCCGAATAGGACGAGCTGCGCCCGAGGAAGAAAGGGATTTGCTAAGGTACGGGTTGCAGTGGGTGTGTTGTAGGCAGAAATTGTGGCGGGCCGCGGATAGGTGTGATCCGGATATAGTTACGACGCACGCCACGGGGGGTGACGTGGCGTCACACTGCAATAATAGCGGAGTGGTGCAGATGTTAGGGACCACCTACTTGGAGTGGATATTGTTCTTTCTGTGTAAGCTAGATACTAGCAAGGATATTAGACGGAATGCCATATATGTGAATATTCTTAGCACCATCCTAGTTCGGCGAGTAAGCCAGTTGGTGAGAGGGCAAGAGAGTAGTAATATCGAACGTTGACTCACAAGTTGATGCGTTTTGCCGCTGGAAGCGCCTACGAGGAGAGCACCATTAACCGAGAGTGCTAGGCCTAAGACTATCCACGTATGCTCTTCAAAGGGAGCTTTCGACATCAACGCTTCAAACTCAAATCGGAGTGGGGTTGCTATCCGCATTAAAATTGTGTTTGTTTGTCCAAAAGACTGGCAGGCAGTGGCAGCTTGTTGTTGTACCCAGGGCACTCTCACATCCGATGCCGGTGATTCGACATTCCACACCTCAAAGGGTGCCTTGAGGTATGGGATGTCGAACCAAAGCCAGGGACATTGGACGTCCCACACTCGACTTGATCGGCTGCGAGCTTCTTCAACGAGTCTTGCGAGAATCGAGCTACGCCCACCGCATTGTTGACACTCTGGAATGGACCAGCTACTAGTGTATCCAAGTTCCACCGTCTCATCGTATGATACCAGGAGGAAGTATGCTGGGGGTCCCTACCAAACGTTAGTGGAAGGAGGGCGGCTTTGTCGAACACAAAATTCCCATCGCCAAAAACATGTGTAAGGCTGTGCCGATTTTTTCCACGGCTCGATACTGACGGACACGCCGTCGGCTGAAAACTTGAAGCACTCGACTCTCTGATATGCTCACTGTACATTGGGGTATGTCAACTGGACAGCAGAGATATCGAAGCACGCGATACCCTTAGAGTGCAATTTTTTCTTCTCGACCTGAATTACTGCAGGCTTCAGCAGCATCAATATTAGTGATAACCCGTGAGTCGGCGATCATTCCTTGATACTGCCATCGCAAGTCCCTTGTACTCAAAGAAATCCCGCGTCGCCTCAATCTCCTTCCCTGCATGAAGGTTCCGCCAGCCGCGCTGATCAGACACTATCGGGTTTGCCATTCAGATGCTTGTAAGGACCTGGTTTATGACTCGCCGAACTCTGCTTGAATTTCAGGTACTGGGGCCTTGCTTGCGAGCGTCAGACCGTGATCGATCTGCGATCTGCAAAGTGTTTCCCGGTTCCCGGAAGTCCGTGGCGCATGAGTCACTGTCTTAGCGCCCGAAGTCGCCCTGAGGCTTGCGATCAAGGGCATTGCTACTTAGTATGCTACTCTGATGCACACGATGTGGAATCCTTCCTTGGATTATTTCTAATCACACCCACGTTTCACTCAGACTGATATACAACGACGACAACTAGGAGGGAACATGGTTCCTCGAAAGTTCGTCCGTCCGTACCGGTCACACTCACATTCTTTTCCTCCTCACTCACCCGCGGCCTTCCGAATCCCACCACTACCTTCTCGTCTTCACTCGCTCCGCGTCCCGCACTTCAATCTCCCCAATGTGTCACTTCGGCTCGACTTTCTTGGAACGTCCTCACGTCTCCACAAGAACCGTCGGTGCAATTGCAGAGGCCCAGGTGGCGCAAGTACAAATACCCCAGAAGGTTGGGGCACACACAATACTCCACCAAAGAAGTTCCGCCATGCACCCGTGCCAATGTCAATGCCTGATTGTGGGTGTGATATTTGTAGCATCATTCATGATGCCCAGAGGTCGGGGGCTCTTACGGGTGTAAGATGTAGTTTGGCTTGAGGTGTGATGTGAATGGGAAAGGAGGACGGGTGGGGACCGTGCGTCCCGGTCGGGATCCATTTGCGCGGCTGGTGTTGTTCGTGATTAGTAGTGATGACAAGAAATCAAGGAGTGTCCTCTTCGTCCTTATCTTCATCTTGTTACAGTTGCGGACAAGCAAACTCCGCCAATCTGGACATTGCTAAAGATTGATTTTTCCTGCTGCCACAAATAACCAGGAACCCATTTTTAGTGTGGAATCCATTCATAGGGAACCAAAGCAACTGATTTGTACGAGCAGATTTTTATAAAACCACCATATAAGGGTTTCAGAGGCCAAAAATTTGGCGCACCCCTAAAAAATTCCTAAATTCATGAAAAATATGCCAATCGCTTTCTTTTGATGTCCTGTATGTGATTCCATTAAAATATCATCATAATCTTGGGTCATTTCAGCGCTAAAACTTGGTAAATATGGATGTAATTGCCTCCGGTATGTTGCTGGTATGTCCCAAAATGATATAATTATTCCTTTTTATAACTTACTTTCAACTACAAAGAGGTGAAATAAAGCTGTACACAAATAATTCTGACCAAATTCTGGCAGAGGGTACCTTGGACTGCTCTTGGACCCCCCAAAAGGGGTACACAACATCAATCAAATTGCTCAAAAACCTCATGGAAAATTTTCTGGAAATGTGTTTTTAGGCGTATTTTCACTGCCTGTGTTTGGATTTGGCCTTGGTTTGGCCTAAAAAAATCACTTGCAGGCCCTACAGAATTTGTGGACTTTGCTTGTCCGCAACTGTAGTCCTGGTCATCATTTTCTTTAGGCGGGGAGGAACTCGAACGGAAAGGCCATAACAATGCATGCACAGTGCAGCATCCAGAGATCTATGTGCTTTCGAAGCTCACCTTTGACTTAGGAATTGTAAACTTGGTGATTGCTAATGAAAAAGGTTTCTGTTATGATGCTTATCATTTTGGTGACGATACTCTAGGGTGTTGAGTTATTGGGCAAAAGCCCGAAGGGCTTTCCGGCTCGAAACATAGTTTTGTACCTATGGTGCAAAAAGGTGAACTGTGTTCCCATAAATTAGGAGTACAACAACGCATGCAGCGAAGGTTGATGCCCCTAGGATTAGGAGATGGACTCACTCTCGCTTCTTAATGGATTGGGGGGATTGTGTAGTGCATGAAAGGCTCTAGTGCTGGTGATGCTTGAATGTAAGGTGCGAGTATAGTTGCGTGGTCCCGCAAATAGATTGTAAAGGCTTCGCTTGACCATCTTCCCATAGCTTTGACGACATCAAATGGCACTCCACACAGGAGATATTCTAGGATCCCCCCAATTCTTAAGCCATGTCCCTTCAGGTCGGGTAAGTTCGCAGCTTTCACTGCTATTGAAACTCTCTTCATCAGCTCTTTTTTGGACAGTGGCCGCATTCCTTTTGTGTGTTTCCACGCAAATAGATGCACATCTCTGTTGGCTGGATTGACGTGCAGATGGTTTTCTAGGGCTCTGCTAGGGTCAGACGGGCCTTCCTGTGCTGCCCAGTATGCTTCTTCCCCTTTGATTGGGGAACACTTGGTCCTTGGTAGGCGGAATTTGGTGACCCGAAGGCCATTGCGGTCTGTGGAGTTTGATACTCCTGCTCTCGTAATGTGTTTCTTTGGGTCAAATTCTTTGATTGCATTCACTGTAAATTCTCCTAGCCTCACTACGGCATAGAATGTCATTGTTAGACATGCAAAGACAGCTGCATCTAATGGAGTGTCGAGATCTAAATGGTCTCGAATTGCGCATAGGAAGGTTGGTGTGAATGGTGACCTCTTTGGGCGCTTGGATGTTTCTGGTGCTGACGCCAATGCTCCGTCTAGCACTGCTTTGAGTTTGTTTGGTGGGATCAGCCAAGCTCTACCATGTAATAGGTGCCATGCTCTCAATCTGGCTGCATAGTTTGCTAATGATGATCCTGAGTAGGATCCGGTGCAACTGCAAAGGAAATCGAGGAGCAAGACTCGTGCTACTGGGCAGCATTGATCTTCTGGGACATTGTTTGTGTCGCAGAATACGTGAAACACCAGTAAACCAGCTCCATAAGTCTCTTTTGTTGATTGTGCCCATGAAGATCCTATAACATCAAGAATACGCTCTAGCTGGGTATCTGTTATTTCATGGTTGATTCTCTGCTCTGCCGTCACTACCACTTGTCTAGTACTATTTCCAGCTGGTGTCCACAGCCTCAAACGATCTCGAGCAAGACAATGTGGCCAAAGAATTGAAGGTTGGGGTGTTAGGTCTGGTCTATAGCTCTGAGGAACTGATGCGAGGTTTTTGTTTGTGTTTGGTAGTGGTGCATTGAAACGGGTGCTCTTCCTCTCATTCCTCATGGAGTGCCCTACTGATGAAAAACTCCTCGTCATTCCTACTAGCTTTAGCTCGTTCATCAGCCTGTTGTCTGACGAGTTGTTGGTTGATGAGTTTGGCTGCTGGAGCGGAGTAACTCCCGTTATGCAGGAGTCGAATTTCTGAGGTGGAGAGTGGTTTCATGGTGTCAATGATGAAAGGCTCGAGCTCTGTTGGAATACTGGTTGGGGGGAGAAGAAGGCTCCTTGGTCCGTATATCCCTCTAGAAGGTTCATCTGCTGGATTGGAAGTGCTTGTGATGTACAATGTGACAACGTCGAAAGTGTAGGGAAGATTGTGAATGAATTCGTTAATCCTGCGGAAGACGCCATTAACTTCGATGTTCCTGTGTCTGCGCTTCCGCCATCCTTCGATGACACCTGTGTTGTCTCCGTGGATGACAACATGTCCATCAGTGTTAAGGAGCGATGCGAGGGTGTACGTGAGTAGCTCAAACCCGACCGCTTCAGCCCATCCAATGTCTCGTTTACCATTGCGAGTCTTCCAACCTGGAATTAGCCTCCACACTCTCCAACGATCCCCGATTACTATTCCGATGCCTATCCCAGAACTTGCGTCCAAGAATGCGAATGGATTTTTAAGCTTGGGGGCTGGGTAGATGGTGCGTGTGACACTTCCAGATTGTAGCAATTCTGACCACCAGTTTAAATCATCTGCTACCCTTTGTCCTGCTCAATGGGGAAGAAACGGCTTCTCGCTGCAATAGGATAGCATCGCCTCGAGGTTCATGAGGTACGCTTTGCCTCGGGGAGTCGCTTCACATGCATGTAATAATTTTCCGTACAGTTCTTGTACATCGTGCAAGGTGTGTGCATGCCACTTGCGCCATTTGTGTATTGCTGCGAGATATTTGTCTATTTTGGCCGCACTCAATGATACTGTTTTGAGCTGAACATCCCAGGAAAAACCTGTGTATATCGTGGATGGTGTGAATGGTTGATCCTTTAGCGGTTCCCATATAATGCCTAAGTCTTCCGATAGGGCATCTATGTCACATAAGCTGAAAGTGAAGAGTCTGTCGTGATCTGATCTTGGTGAGTTGTTTGACAAGTCCTTCAGTGGTTTCGAGCAGTCTTCGTTGGACTCTTCTAGTCTGCCTGTTTCATGGTGCAGTTCTCTGAACCAGATGTGTCCACCTGTTTGGCACATTCCTTCTTTTGCAAATGTTTGGTTCCATTGCTTCCTCCATTCGTTATATTCCGCTAGGAATTCCCGTCTGATTCTGATGAATAAATGATCATCTACCCATTTGTCTAAAGGCCCAATTCCATTGTTCCGGAAAATTTCGGCTCCAGCATCGGCAACATGTCCATAGACCCCTGCTGATGGGGTAGCTCCAAATGCTGTGCACGTATCTATGCAGAATTGTGTTTCCGAGACTCGTATCACTCCTGCTGGCCATTGGGACGGATGTAATGGAATCATTCGGTATGCTTCCGCTACATCTCTCATTGCTGCTTCTGAACCTGGGGGTAGGTGTGCTATTAGGTTATATATGATTGAAAATTTGCCCCAAGTTGTCGGGAAATCTTGGGCATTAATGTAGGAGTTTATTGAGGGGTTTGGATGGGGGGTGCTCGGGGACAGCGGGAATGAGAAATTCTGTATGACTCTGAATTTGCCAGGTTTGCCTGGTTTCGGAATAATAGACATTGGCAAGGATTGGAAAGGTCCTATTAGCTTCTCTAATATGTCAGCTGTGAGTGGCCCAATGTATCACCCTTTGTCCAATTCCTTTTGGATGATGCTATTGAATTCGACCCTGTACTCGGCAATCGATTCTTTATTTGGAGGGGTCTGTACAATTGAAATAGAAGGGAAGTCTATTTTGAATCCTAAACGGAGTCCATCTGGTATATTAATAAAATGCTCAATGACTCCTGCACGACAAAGCTCACGTGCCCATACTTCAGCTTTGTACAGAGTCAGTGGTACCTGCTTTCTGAGCTCTAGGACACTTCTGGGCACTGTGAGTGGTAGCTCCGCACCCTGAACAGAAGTGTTGGGCATCGTGCTTGGGGGTCGTGCAACTTTCTTCTCATTGCCACCCAGTACACAATTGCTTCCCGTCTTTGGTCCATAGTCCTTTGCATATGCGCTCCAAGAACATGTCAAACTGTTTGTCCCACATCTGGGTGGCAGTGCATTCAATGGTACGGTGTGGATTGCAGCCAAGACAAACTGCACAGCAAGGTAATGGACCTGTAGCTGTGAAGGGACGTACTGTCTGTACCTTCTTGTTACCGGCTTGGTTACCAGTTTGCATGTCCTCAGCTGGGGTGAAGGGGCACTTCTGCAATGATGCAGATTGCTGGGTTTGACTGGAGAGGTACGCTGCTGCCACTTGCTGTGGTGATATGAAAAACGGAATGATTCTGCAGGGGGGGGGCACGGGAAAGGTGTTTGTCATCATGATTGAGACGGGGGTTTGGGTTTGGGTGTGGCATGTGATGGCCAATGAAATTTCGTTGAAGAAACAAGGGAGTGTCCGTGTGCATACACATGTGACAGAGGGGGGGGTTTAATGTCGGCGCGTGATGGCCGACAGGTGATAAAACGCATTGCACAAGGTGACAATTTAAAAAGGGGGGGAGGGAAAGGAATTGGTTGATGTGAATAGGGTGCTACTCGTAATGGGGGCTTTGAAACTGACCTGTATAGCTATCTTCGTCTCCCTTTCACGTTTCTCATTGAAAAGCTCTTCTCGAGCTTCAAGAATCAAGTCATTGTTGAGCTCCTCAAGGCTCCAACTCTTTGCTGTCCCTATGCTCTGGTGCCAACAGCGGTGCTGCTGGGATTGGTAGAGGAGGAGCACTTTTTGCTTGAGCAGGTCCGGAGAGTGTCACCATCTGTGCACCTGAAGGGCATACCAAAATTGTATGTGCATTTCGACTCTCTCCTCAGGCCAGTCATGTTGTCGCATCGAGGTGACCATGTGAGGTGTGGCTTCATTAAACTCCTCCCAGGAGAGGTGCTCGTCCCTAACGATTGGCGCTGCCTTTGGATCCTTAACTGCTGCAGCCAGGATCCATGAATGTAGCCCTTCCGAGGAAGGAAGCATAACCATAGCATCTGGTTCCACTACTAGAGTGGCCAGTTTGGTGTCCTCTAAGCCTCTGTTCATGAAATAGTGAAGCTCACAATAATCTCCAGCTTTGAGCTTTCGTGTGGTGTATTGAGCTGGTAATACAGTAGGGTCAGAGGGAACTTTTCCGCGCACGAGTGGCACATACTTATTCTTGTTCTTTTTTCTGTCCTCTAGACGCGCTGCCTCTGCCTCTTCTTGGCACACTTGTTGGCATTGCTCTTCTTCCTCCTCTTCCCACTCTCTCACTTCTTGCAAGCACTCCTGCCTGAGGTTCCATTGTTCCTTGTCTGCATTGTTAGCTAATGTCCATAATGCTGCTAGCAAACGGGCCACTTGATCATCAGTGAATCCTCCATCGACGAGCTGCTGGCGTGCTAATTGATGTTCTTGCAAGGTGAAATCTGGTTGGACAGCCAAGTTAGGGTTTTCTTGTAACATAATTGAACTGTAACTTAATGCAAAATACTTGGATCAAGAAGCTAGAGCTCAAGTAGACGAGAAACGCGAGGTGGCAGAAGCAAAAAGGTGTTGCGCCACCTCGCTTAATTTGCGCATAGACTAACTTCTTTGTCAGCTTCGTTCCTCAGCAGACTCAGATCACCACTTACGCCATGTGCTTGGTTGAGGAATCAGCTCCTCGGCAGTGTCTGAGTCTGCGCGGGTGTTGTATCCAAGGCTCTGTCAGCCGAGGTATGGTGGGTTTGAGACCATGCAGCGGGCCGAGAATGATATCAGTCCTCTTCAACAACAAGACATCTCTCCTGGGGCTTTGGTGCGTCAGCTTCTGGTTGAAAGAGGGAATCGGAAAGTCTCATCGATGATCCAGGACTCTACGCCAGGGGACACAGATAATCCAACCAGTACGCCCTGGCAGACGATTGACACATTGACAGGTCATAAACGTAAACTTTCCAGCACAAATAGTTTATTTCTAAAGGTGTCAGTGTATGTACGGATATGATAGGGCACGCACCTTTCTTTCTAGAAACACAATGTCCGCGTGCGGAGCATTGATCTTTGGGTAATAGAGACGAACACTGCACGTCCGGTCGCGTCCAAAGGTAACTGCCTCCTCGTCGATTGGGAATGCTACTACCTGCTCATCAGTCGACCGTTTCATCAGCCGCAGCGTACCAGACAGCCCTATTTCACTGCCGTCCTGATGGTGATGAGCAAGTTCAAGCAAGACTTGGACAGAGTTTGTTCCAGGTTCGCGTCATGCCGCACCTCCAGGTCATGTGATCGCGTCATTCATAGCGATTGAATTATTTATGTACATCGTCAACCACAAGAATGCCGGATCTGAATATAATTACAAAGTATGCGGCGTATCACAACTTCAAGTGCCACGATCAGGAACTATAAGTGCGGCACCAAACCAGTCCACAACACCGCCTTGTATACGTCAGGAGGAAGATTGCATAAAGTGGCGAACATAAGTACCAAGAGGACGGCACGAGCTGTGATGTACAACAGAGCATGCAATGCGTAGACCGAGATATCCACCTCATTTGGCGTATACAGGACGCCAAAGAGCAATGAGGTGAGGAAACCGCACCAGGGTGTGAAAGTTATAACGACGGCACTCATGCGCCATAGCACCCGTTCCTGGTATGGTGGGAAGGCAAAAAACCAAGTTATACAACGGATGCCGCAAAATATGGATGCCATAAGCAATGCAGCAAGGCAAAGAACGATCTTGTCCAAATATTCGAATTTGATGCTGCCATCAAATGTTGAAACTCGGAACTTTCGAGAGGTGGGAACTTTAGACGAGCCTAACAGTTCTTCAATTGGGCCGAAGACCGGAGACAAGATCCCCCATCTAATGACTTGGTCGCTTCCAGGGACGCCAAGGCAGACATAATCAGCAGCAAAATAATTGTTGAGGTGCACACATACTCATCAATGTGATTTTCTAGCCCCGAAGTTGACTTCCAGTACACTGGATGTGGACATTGCACATCGAGAGGCTTGTTCCACCACTCAGCATAGGTGAGGAAATGGAGAACCGCAAAAAGCGAGGGTCCCAACCTCGAGCTGGGTGGTTTCGAGGTGATAGATGGCGCGGGTGATGAGCTGCATAACAAACCAGGCCACCTGAATGATGATCAATCCTTTCGATATGGCAGTCTTTGCTCCTATCGTGGATCTAGTCTGCCGTTAGGGTAGGAACGTCGACACGTCCTGCACGTATCAGTGTGAGAATGTAATCAAGCTGTAGTATAAGGCAGGGTTCCCCGTCCACATTTAGCATGAAACCACCCATTAGCACAGAGAAATTGTGTGCCTGAGTCCACGTATAATCTAAGGATGTACATGAGCCAACATTCAGGTGAGCACGAATCGGGCTTACCTTCAGATTGCTCTAAGAAATGAGCCTTGACCCATCCTTTGACCCACCTCGCAAGAGCTCCAGGGAGACACCAAAGAAATACCAGTACAGATAATACACCTGTAGCAAGCACTACGAGAAGGAGGCGAAAGAAGCGAAGGAAGCGATTTTCACATTGTCCAGGTGTTTCAACAGGCTCCTTTTCTAAGGACATGTATAGTGAGTTGTAAGATGCAGAGTCTCTGAAAGCACAACTCACCTTCAGACTCCTTTTGCTCAGGATGAACACTGGGATAGTACCCCGAATCCTTTAACCGCCTTGTAACTTGACGAGCGCTGAACCATTGGCGCATAGTCCATGTTACGATCAGTTCAGGAGCGATTAGTGCGATCACCATGATGCCAAGTCGCTGCCGTAGGGTACCATTAGGACTGTCCTTGGGACTTGGAATATTGGCGTGAATGGCACTGTATATACACGCAAATAGAGTGAGAACAGAACTGGAGACGATTGTCCATAGGGTTCTGGTCGTGAATGGTGAGGCTTTAAAACTGTCGCTAGTAGCAGGATTTGTTGTATTTGTTGTAGTTGCAGCTTGGACGACTCCAACGAGGTAGAGGAAGATGCAGAAAAGTACTAGTAAGCACATTATTGGATATCACTTTGGGTGTATCGTACGCATCCTGTTCGCTATTTGTATTTTACTAGCGGGTATCATCTGAAGGCAGTAATTGCAATGTACAATGAGGTGGCTGGCCTGCTTGGTGTTTGCAGCATGACAAGTGAAGAGTAGTATCGTGATGAATCACTGAGTGCTCTCATTCTCGATCAGGTTGTCACGTGCTGGGCTCAAACTGCAGCTGGTCCAACATTCAGTGAACCGCACCGTGTCAATGTAATGTCTCGTATCCATTCATCGGGCACCCTCAAGTAATCATGAACGTTGAACATTTTTCAACTAGGGCGGGTCACAGCTTGTTCAGGGTACGTTGCAGCAACGAAACCGACGGCACCTCACTGATTACACGACTGCAGCTGTGCCAGGCAAAAACGGGCATTTACCCTTCTATCGGGAATTGGCCTGTCCACTAATTAACTGCTCAAGAAGCGCTGGACGCACTCAGTACTCGTTACGCGATGTCAATTGTTGCACATGATTTCGACGGTGAAAGCATTCCACCTCTGGTCCTCATGCACGCCACCATCATCTCGAAGGGACACTCGCACAATATACGTTACGGAGATCGAAGCTGTCTGGTTACTGCGGCCCCCAAACAATTGTGTCCGAGGCAGACAGCACTTGCAGTTATTGACAATATCGCCTGCTACAGCGGGAGCCGTCGACTGGTAAAAGTGACGTGGTGCCATGACAAATAGTTCGTGTTCCGTTCAAACACGATGTTGTATCGCTCAAAATGCACTCTAAACACCTTAGTCAACTTTGAGTGCTCATTGTTGATGAATATTTTAATGTCCATCCGCGTACAGGCTTGGAGTACTAAAATGCACCTCTCACCACATTTACAGTGCTTGTCCTCTGCGTCGTACAGGTCGGGGATCGTATCAATTAGTAGTGTGCCTTCGGTATTCTCTCTGGTTGTGATCTAATGTTGGTATTCAGATACTGTATGAATTGTTGTGTCACCATGTCAAGCCTCGTCCGAGTCCTCGCCTGGGTCTTATCGATGCAATCTTGGTACTACCATGTCAATCCCAAAAAAGTATCTCCTATGGCCTAGGGAAGAACTAGGATGGCTTCGAGTATCGCCTCAAGGTCTAACCTTCCTTAGTTCGAAGCTACCCACCTCGTCCGACCTCATCCAAACCCGCCTCCACTGATTCAAAATTACCTCATCGTCTTTCTCCACCTCTACGCACCTGTCTGTGCCCCTGGATCATTCCTTTCACAGAGGGCCTCAGCATTGTATGAGAATGTATCATAGGATCATACAGCCACACATGTCTGCCATATCGGGCGGCATAGCGTCTTCCATGGCTAGCACCGCATCGCTACCGCCCTCATAGTCAGCACATCAGGAGAGTTACCTGCTGCTATAGGCGGAGAAGCAGTACCTCACACCACCCTTTCCTACTTCTCACAAACGCGCTGCTTATTTTCTTGCTGAACATCAACTTTTTTTCTGTACAGGATACTCGACAGCGTTATGTGTATTGTTGATGTTTAAGGTGTCGGGTGGCAAGGATCGTTTGATACCGGACTTGCCCTCGTTTACTACTTATCGCTTACCCTACTCTGCCCATCTCGTTTATGCGATTATATTCCCGGCGTTTTATATTCATGACTCGCTCAACGCAGAGTCCTCTATGCGCGCCAAGAGGCGTCTATCTGTCTTGGATCGCTCTACCACCCCGGTGGTAGCGGTCCTCATGCACATTATTGCGCGCTTTGTTTTTCTGTCTGTCGTCTCACTTTGTACATTCCCAATCATCTCCTGCAGTCAATATTGGTTCGTATATATTTTGGTTCCATCTCATTCCGCTTCGTACCCCCTCGTACAACTCCTGACTTACCTCACACAACCCCTCTCCATCACGTTGTCTTTTTACATGCACATGCTCAAACGCATGGACAGGCTCAGACAATCAGTGTCGCAGTACTTCGATCACTTATATGTGAAATTTGCATTAAGATTATGTTCAAAGTTGAGTGTTTGATAATATTATGCTTTATCCCAAATTTCCTCCCATTGCTGAAGCGCTAGTGGCATAAATTAACCATGCAAATCAGCTCAACGATCAACCAAGAATTGTGCTATGAACGACAATGTCGATACGAAAGCAGAAACATCACTCACAGTGACTCTGGCTAGACGTCAGGTCTTCTGCATCTCAAGGATCGTTCATACATCAGTGCACATCTTGCTTTTCTATTGGAAGGCACAAAGAGTGAGTCGATTTTGGATCATGCAAGCGAACCGCATGCTCACACAAGTTTGAATGCAGCAGGCGGACCCCACGCAGTCAATACCACTGACACATGATCGCCTGTCGAACAGAACTGGCGTTGCGCTGACAGATATAATTACTGCCAAAGCGGCAACGATACCGAGGAAGGAGAAACGCATGTTTGGAATTGGAATTGATACGAAGGTGATGTATGATTGGTCTGAGGGACCTTTGAATGACTTTGGAACGGTAGAATGATGATCTGTCTTAAAGGCCTCGCTGAACATTCTGGGAATGAGGATTGCGAAATTGTTCATCAGCCCTGTTACTGGCATAGGTTAACACCATGAATAAATTTTGATTGCTTGGGCGAGCTATTGTGTTGTATGGCGCTGATCTCTACATTTCATGCTAGTGCGATACGGGTGAACATGGACAGACGACACACACTAGTACGTATCATGTCTTTCTACATGCATGATGGCTTGAGAAAGTAACTGATTTTGTGGGTGTCAGCCATGATGGGTCAAACTCTATGGCACGATCAAAGCTGCCGACATTTGCATCATAAGCGAGATGAAGCGGCCATCCCCGTTCTTCACCGTTTGAGCCAGGGTTCGAATCCGGCACCCCGGATACAGCGCCTGGAACTTGAAACGCTCAAGTCACGAAATTATCGTGCATTGCGATCATCGTGGAGGAAACGAGCTGTCGGGTCTATCAGAAGTCACGGAAATTGTCATCAAGTACTCGGAAACTGCCGCAAGCCAGTATGGGACATGGGCGCAGTATGGAAAATGGTGGCTCCCCGCATAATGTTGGCAGTATGATGGTGATATGCTATTTCGATTCTCCGAAAGTCCGAGCAGGACGCAACAACAGTTTCGAAAGCTATGTCGATGGGGGCAGTAACAGTCAGTTGCAGAATTTTCACACTCCTTAACATTGGAGGTGTGACCCTATACGACCGCATGATATGTAGGGCCTTGACAACAGGCCTATGACCCATGCAATCGCAGGCTCAGAAAGCAGGGCTTTCCATCATTATGGACCGTAACATATGTTACTCATGCCAACCACGGTGTCCAATGCCCATCGCTTTCCCCCGTCAGTCGCTTGAAATTTTAAACGGTACCTGGATGACTTACTGACATGACAACTCTCATCTTATTGTAGTCCGTTTTTTTTTGGCAAAGTTCAACAGCCCAAGCGCCGTCTCTGAATCTGTTTTTCAATCACAAACATGTGCTCTCCGGTCGTCTTCTCGGCATTGGAGTTCACACCGATGACTCAAGCCAATCATCTTAAGAATCTGTTGAACAACCCAAAATGCGTCAAACCCCTGCTCCGCTTCATAGCGAGCACGCGCAGACTAGAACAGACCTTCTGCGACGTTACATCACCTGCAGGTGATGAAGAAGGAAACTGAACGCAAACCGAATCCCCCACCTTATCACCTTTAGCTGGCCTTACCCGTTCTCGCTCTTTTGCCTGGACCAATGAACGCACACCAAACGATCCATAGAATCACATAGAATTTCTTAGTATATACCTGTATGTTTTGTCTATCATAGGGCTTCGCCCCAACGGACAATAAACACTGATCCAAAAAAAAATCATCGATGACTGCAATGCAGAAGACACAAAGAAGGTTGCTTAGAACTCCGAATGTTGAGCTGGCATTGATAGTAAAAGATCATGGGTCATGGCTATGCATGTGTAAGCACGCCGGCTTACCTGAGTTCCCATAATCAGTACATATACTGTCGCTGATGC